CACTCGTATGCCAACTTCAAGAATCAGTTCAATACTTCATAATGGACATTATGATTCTGTGGCGGGCATGATAAAACTGTGGCAGTCGGGCAACAGCAAATTTGTCAGTGCGCAGAAGGTAAAATTAATGCATTTATATGTATGGGAGACAGTTATAAAGTAAAATTGCTGCCTGTACAGTATCTGATTAATCCTCTATATCTTACACTATCCTGGAGATATGGAAAAACCAGAGACCAAGCTGGAACCACTTTTCGTTATTCCAGTAACCGTACGGCAAATGGAGGCAAAAACAAAACAACATCGTTATCTGCTGCCCCTGAGGAAGTTTATGAGCAGGTGTGAAATAAAGAAGAATGAAGACGGAAGGAGGAGGAGCAGAAGAAAGACGGAGGAGGAGGGTGAACCCCATGAACAGACTGCCTCTGCAGAGCTGTCTTGGCTCTGTCCCTGCCGAGAAAACAATCCAGCCGGTGCTCATTAGCAGCTGGAGTTTCATTACCACAACACTGGAGCCTGTTTAATGAACCCTCGATGAGAACATGCATCCTGCTTCCCCATTTGAGTTCAGAGGTACTAGGTGACGTGCCCCCCTAAAGCATGTCTTATTGCACATTCCAGTGTTAGAACCACAAATGTCCTTTGCTGCAAGCACAGATGGAGCATCCAATGAGACATTATAGAAAACTGAGGGGAGACTGTTGATAACACAGTACACAGGAGGATGGGGATGGCAAGGTGATAGTAATCATAGTTTTGACTGACATCTCAGCTTGGCACCATACTCTAGCTGTTGTTATTGTTATTGTAACAGGAGATACAGATGGCATTTCATTAACCATTTGACCAACAGACCTAAAGCGTCTTCTTGCAGCGATTCGGCCCTCTGGGGCACAGTGGTTGTGCTGTAAGGATCATCAAGAGATGAGCAGCACAGATTAATAATGAAGCTTCACCAATAAACAAGGGAAAAAGACAGACAATATACAAAGTTTCAGTATCCAGCTGTTGATTAAAAGAGGGAATATATGCCATAGAAAAAGGGATAAAACTACCACTCTGTTAGAGCCAAAAGGAAATCATAGCCTATTCATCTCTGCTGCCACTAAGTCACCGCTTTCCTAAATTGTAGATGGCGAATGAAGGCTGCCTAAATATCATCACAGGTTCTACTGTTAACATTGAGTCTTGATTATACAATTGGGCTTGAGTCTTGATAAAAGGCACAAAATACAGCCAGTTTTTAAAACTGCTTCATGCGTAAGCGAGCCATCATGTTCATTCTTTAGTGGAAAACAAATGTAACATCCCTCTGTCTCTGATTCTCAATTTAGTATCATACCAAAACAATAAGAAAAATGGGACATTATCTGTGCTGTTTTAGGAATTCAAATCATAAAGAAAACAGGTCACCAGTGACACCATGGTTTCCTACATTTGCGAAAACATTCCTTGCATGCAGCCTGCCAGGACCCCAGCTGTGGCTGTGAGATCTTGCATCAGATTACTTCTCTTTGATGAGATGTTTTACATATCAGGACATACAAACATACAGGACAACATGACACTGATTCTGCAATGGCTAGGCCATTTCTTTAGCTTTATATTGTGCCAAAATGACAAATTTGACAGCTAAAGATGCCTACATTTAGAAAGGTTTTCACTTTATCTCCCAATTTAACAGTAACAATAACAGGCTGCCATGAATAGCACAAAGGATATTCACAGAATACTTCACAATAAAAGTTGGGCCATTGTTTCAGCACTGACAACATAATCAGTACATGAAGAAACAGGTGTTAAGTGCTCAGATCTCACTGGAGTTGTAACTGGGGGTGTAAGAGAGGCATAATTGTGGGAGAGGACAGGACCTGAAGTTCAGTCTTGATTGACAGAGACAGAGCTGTGACCACAGCTGAAACAATTTTGACAGGTGGACTGTTGGCCGCCTGTTGCAAATGCACTCATGCATCCAACACACACACACACACACACACACACACACACACACACACACACACACATACATAAACAAATATAAATGTACTTGCAAACAAATAGACAAAAAAAAAATGCATAAGAAACTCTATCCTTCCTCAAGGATGGAGCTGTATGAGGTTACTCCACTGCAGGTCAAATGCATGTTTCCTTTCTTAGCCTACAGCCCATCCGGCTTGCCCACAACAGAGAGCTCTGGAAAGCTGACAGTCTAACCAAGAAGAACAAATGAATACAGTAAAACTCCAAATGCCAGATTCAATCATATCTGAGAAAGGCCAAAATGAATCACACACACAAAAATGATACTGCATAAAAATCTTGACACCAAATGGCATTCACCATTTGAGACAAATCAGGGTATGCAGTCCCTAAAATACTACAAAAGTTGCATTATTGGACTGTTTGTGTACATCCCAGAGAGGCATGACAACACCTAAAAAAAGCCCCTTTTCAACTCTCACTTTATTTGGGGCCTAAATGTCACACAGTTCTCACACTGCAAAACTTCCAATGGATTTTCCGACTCAGATTCTTCCGGTATCGTATCAACATTCCATGCTGGCGCTGACCTTGTTACAAAAGCTGCAATGTCAAACAACCATCTCGTCCTATCTCAGGACTTAGCAGAAAAGCCGGGAATGTTTACCCACTCTCAAGTTGGAGACAACACGGGCTGAAAGATGCGCTCTTTATTGACAAAAGACCACCGGGTACGTCCTTGTCACATGCAATGCAACATGTGATGCACATTAATACAAATTAATTTAGTTAATGTAACAGGCCTATACTAAACTCAGACACTAGCTCTAACTGTATGGTGTAATATGTGTTGCTGTTCTCAAAGGCTTGTCAGCTGTGCATGGGGCCTCATCCTACAGCAGCTGAGCTATCACAATCAGCCATCATTAGTATAGAATTTAAACAGTGCCTAATTGTAATTAGTTGATTAAGTTGGCTCACACCTATGATTTCTCAGCAGTAAACTTCTTATACCTGCTAACTATGCCTGTCTGAAGGAGGTGAAGTCACTGTATATAGCTGCAGTAAAGGCCACAGGTAAGTAGCTGTCTGACCTTAAGAGCTTATGATAGTCAATATTTGAGAACATATACAAGTCACTACCAAAGCTACAAAATAAACAAAAATGTTGTAAATGCCAGGAGCCGCTCAAGGCGAGACTGACTTTTGCTGTTGTTCCAACAGTTACGAGCAATAAAAATGTTAGACTTAGTAGAACTGTCCGAGAGACTGCAATGTTATTCCTTATCTGTCATAAATTGACCAGATCTACTCTCTCTATCATCAGGAGTACACCAGAAGAATAACATAATGCGAAATTCAATTTATGGACCTACGTGAGTGTAATGAATAACAACAACAGAGTGTAAAAAATGTAATTTCCCCATGCGGAATGAATCAGATGTAAATTTAAATATAATTTATAATCTTAGCTCAGTTTTTTGTGTTCTCTCTGTTTGAGAGTGAATCAGTTGGATAGTTCTCTACATTTTGTGGCAGGAAAAAAAAAATCTCTGGAGACTTGGTCAGTAGAACTGTCACATACTTGTGAGATAGTTACGCTTCTTGTGTCGCCTAAAGATACCAAGACTGAAATTAGAAAAGAGGCAGAACTGAGGACACAAGGTCTGTCAACATTCTGTAAACACAAGTAGTTTTGTTAACATTAGTACAAAAGTACGCTCACCTTGAGCCTCTGTGTTGGGAAGCAAAAGGGAGGAGGGAAAACCTGGGAACGATTGTTTCTAAGACAGCACAGGCATGCAAATGTTTATGTTTGTGTACATGTGCTTCTAGGGGGATCTGAGGTCTGCAGAGGGGGGAATTGCATGGGGGAATAATGAGGTGTTGAGTGATGGTAAGAAGAAGCAGAGGGGTGTTGATTGTGCAACCTGCTGCAGTAGGTTTCGATTTATACTCATAAATACAAGGGTTGGATACAATGTAACATGACTAACCCAACCCATGGGGGTACATTGTATCATGAGTAACCCAACTACTACTCATATATTCTCGTATATAAATCTCTAAAAAAAAAAAAAAAAAAAAAAACAGGTCTCTCAAAACTTTTTGGGAATATTCAGCTCATAAAATTAGCTTACTAACAGTGCCAATGCACCAGCTGTCATGAGATAACATTTATTTGGCGTCTGTTATCTGCCAGTAGCCCACTCTAAGCCGAAACACTGCTCTGTGCCAGCTGAATGTCAGACACACCCTCATGCCTTGGTATGTAACAGTCAACAGTGACTGGGCTGCGCTGGGTTACTACTGTCTGTGTATGCGAGCGCTACTTTCTCGTGTTGCCTTCTGCTAAAGATAACGCATCCTACAACTCCACTTAAGCCTATGGGAGGAATTTGAGCCTGTCCTGCTCAGCTGGAAATCAAAACAGAACACTTAGAGGAACATTATCCCTACACACATAAACACACAACGCCCAAAATAGGAGAGAATAGGCAGCAATACCACTAAAGGCACACGTCACAGGAACGTGGAAACACAGGAACACACACATGTCCTATTACTAAGAATTTAAGGTCTTGTCTTCATTACATTCCCATGAAACAAATCAAGTCCTTTGGTCAGACAATTCATCCCCACACTGTGGAAAACTGAATCCTTTGTAATCTAAACACACACTTAAAAATAAACACAGCACTATTGTGTGTTTGTATAAGAGGCTACATGAGGGAACTATGCTCGAACACACTGGTACTTACATGAACACTCATGCCGCAACTGATGCTACCCTCAAATTACAGAGACCTATCCCTGACCTCCACAACAATGATATTCTATATAACACAAAACCCACATACATACAGCTACGAAGACTGATCACAGTATGCGGGCAAAGTTGTGAATTGCAGCTGACAACATGTACGTTTCTCACTCTCAAGACAGTTTGTTCAACTGTTCCCAATCCCACCAAAAACACAAACAGACAAAAAAAGTGGCAAACCAAAAGCAAAACTCACCATTGTGTGAGGACTCCTTGTTATCAGCCACCTTCCTCAGCGCTGAAACGATGGCATCAGAAGGAACGCGAGGACTCTCCACATACTTGGGCTTCCTGATTGGACCTGCTAGCATGAACCGAAGATAGAGGGAGAATGAGAGACAGAGAGAGAGTGTGTCAGACAGACAGAGAGAGGGAGTCAGAGAGAGAGAGAGAGAGAGAGAGAGAGAGAGAGAAAATAAATGCAAAAGAGGAGAGAATGAGAGAAACAGAGAGAGAGAGAGTTCTCGCTGGATTAACGTGTTCCAGATGGGACTAGAGATGAGAGGCGGTGGTGTCTTAGTTGGACAGGCTTGGCTGCACTCCGTGGCTCACATAAACACTCTCTCTCTCTCTCTCTCTCTCTCTCTCTCTCTCTCTCTCTCTCTCTCTCTCTCTCTCTCTCTCTCTCTCTCTCTCTCTCTCACACACACTCACACACACACACACACACACTCTCAGACAGCTCCCTGTGCTGATAGCAGCTCTGGTAGGTCTGACAACCCAGAATGGCTGGAGACTCCCAGTAAAACACTGCTAGCTGGCTCTGGGAATGTAAACTACAGCAGGAAACCACAACAATTAGCCTCTTCGTGAACTTTAAAAATGAGTGTTCAAACACACAAATGCATGAGTTTTCTGCATGTTGAGCTGTCCATTGAAAGTATACCCTCAAGGGTACACGGGGATAGATTAAGGTCCAGGTGTCCTGGTGCAAGTCAGATGATGTATCTGGGACAGCAGTACAGTCCTCTGAGAACCGTCTTTGTCTTTAGTGAGGAGTCGAGGTTAGCTGGCTGCTCTGTTCCCTCTGCTCACACCGTGACAGAATTAGAAAATCCCATAGCTCCATGCAAAATGCTTGCTCACTGTGCTTTAAGACAAACACTGATACACTCACCCCGCTAGAGATACAGCTCCTTTTAAAACATTTCCATCTTAGTGTGTGCGAAAAGATTTCCCCCAGTTGTCTATAACATAGTCTGTAAAAACTTCCCTTTAAGCTACCCTAAACAGAAGAAAAATAAGATTCTTTGTTTGAGTGGTAGCAAAGGCCTACTAATCTTTCCTAACAGTGACAATATAATTGTTTATACATGCAGGAGATTCAGCAAAGACACTAGACTAAATACTTAGCCATGAAACAAACATCTCCTGAGCAACTAGCGGTGCACATTTCCAAGTCCTCTACTTTTATCCTACAATTTCTCGTGTAAAAAAGAAATACATTCCACAGTCCAGAGACAAAAGCGAAAATGAAACAGCAGAAAATAACCTGGAAACAGGAGTTGACTGTATAATTTAGATCCATAAATCTATAGAGAATAGAAACAGCATGCCTCCCGTTGCACCACTTCTCTATGCTTACACCAACCTTGACCTACTGTAACCCAATCCAAACCTCCGCCTCCTTCTCCAGACTCCCGTTATCAGATGGCTGTATGTGTAACCCCAGTCATAACATAAAGATTACATGGGAGAACGGAGATATCCATTTCCTATTACCACATTCGATAACCAGTCACTACCACCATAAGAAGAGAAACTCTTTATCAGATGGAGCAATTTTTTAAACCACAGCTGCGATCTTGGCCACAGATACTAATAGTGGAGGTTAGTGAGGGGGTAAGGGGGTAAGGGGGGAGTTACAACAGCAGCCATGTGAGAGGAAACGATCCGGAAGTGTCATTGCAAGAAACCAAGCTTGAGTCGGCTTGATGCACAGTGCCATCTATGGATATGCGACTTGAAATGCATAGTGAGCTTTTGATACCCTAGAAGAGCTCCTCCCATTGCAAACTGGGTGTTCTTTTGCTTAATAACAGACATCATGGATATAAAGCTAGTCAAAGAACACAAACTAAAAGCCCACAGTCAAACACAGATGTCCATCAGAGGAGCAGGAAGCAGTAGTCGTAGTTTGTAGTGAAAAATAGTTTTAAAGGTGATGATGTTGTTTTTTAAAAGCAGTATAACCCCATATTGGAGTTCCAATTTGTGAACATATATGAGGTTTAAGCCTGAAGGGGACTGATCTACAAAACCAATCCAGACAAAGCCAAAGAGTCAGTCCTGAAAACCTCTTTTCATTTGCGGATGGTCAGGCACAACCTATTACCCAGGAGTCACACGGCTCCACTTTAAGTGGGACTACAGAGACAGAGAGGGCTTGTGTGAGACACACTTAGTTCAGGTAAATATCTTGGACCAAAAGCACGCTGCCAAATATGTTCCTGTTGAGTGTATTTCATTTAAAAACAACAGGGGGCATAGTTTGAGTAATTTAAACCATATGCTTAAGTTCAGATACAGTTTATAGCAAGAGGAACACAGGATCCACACTTGAAATAACAAACATGTGGCTGCCTATCAAGGGTAATTTTAGGCCACATCTGATGCTCGATAATACAAGGAATAGGCAAAAGGTCCTTCAGCAAGACTCTGATGTCAGAGAATCAGTATATGACAGACAAAGCACACAGGGGTTTCTTTTCCATTCGAAATCTCATCTCAAGATTTAACAGGGTGTCATTACTGCCCTGCCCTTTTAGATGGAAGCACTGACGAATAAGCAATTGCAGTTTATAACAGCCATGAAAAGGTCGCAGAAATGGAAGTGTCAGACATATGACCCTTGAAGGACAACGACAGAGGGAGAAGCAGAAATTAGATGTGCTTTCAATTTCATGTAAATTAGTGTAAATCTATTCACATGCACGTTAACTGCTGGACAATTAACTAATAATAAATGTAGGACAATCACCATCAAACCTTCATTTCCCAAATTTTATAAAGAACCACGGAGGAAATGATAAAGAGAAGGAAGGATGAGATTAGCAGATGAGCCAACTATCAACTTGATCTCAGACCCAGATGCAAAAAATTAAAATGCATTAAGTCTCAGTATTCTGAACATACCCCATGCAGAGAGGACAAGTGAGAAATGTCTCATACCGATATGCATGCAAGAGCTCATTAGAGCAAGAAAATGCTGAAAGACAGATTCAAAGGTATATTGAAAGAGACTAGGGTAAGGCTAGTTTTTTTATAACATATAAAAAAGGCAAGTTTCTGATTATCAAATTGAATTTCAAATTCAAATTCATTAATTAATCCAAAATATTTTAGATGTATTTGTGTTTCTATTGATATTTACAATTAAATTTACTATTCAGTTGTATGTTGAAGTTTATGTAAATAAGTTTATGTGAAACTGTTACTGGATTGTGTTGCTCAGATTAGTTATTATTTTAAAGACATCCTCACAAAAAAATCAGTCAGGTTGCAGTTTGTATTTACTCAACAGTCCTCTAAAGGTTTGGGGGACTTGAAAGATATTGTCACATGCTGCAACTCAAAGGTTACTTATCTAACACACTTGTATAATTCTGAAAGGATCAAGTCACTTAAACAAAAACTAGTGCCTAACATGTGGAATATCTAATATTGACAGAGAAACGTTAAGTCAGGGAGAAAAGGGAGTGACAGAACCTAAAAGATGGTATGTAAATATCATAGGAGTAAATATACATGTAAATGTGAATCTATGCAAATGCATGTGTTAAATTTATGGGAAGAAAAGCAAGCAAACAGAAGATGGGGGCGGAGATTGGTTACGACAGAAAAGACAGTATCTCAAGGGTAAAGCAGCCAAGCGAGCTGTGAGAGCAGAGGACTCACCAGTACTCACTGTGAGATTCAGGAATCCATGACCAGCGAGCTATCAATCAGCAGGCACATACATACACACACACATACCAAAACAGCCGAATACCTAAGACCAACAACTTACAATGTCCAGTGAAAGCCAGTGAAAGAGAGGATTGTTCATGGTTAGGAAGTGATCAAGGAGTTTTCCCAGCATTCTTCAAGATGGACTCTGACTTATTCACATTTCAACTTTTCAATAAGACAGTGTGCCCTCTTTGTGGCGGAAAGAGAATGAAATCAGTCTCACAACAGCCCTCTTTATGTTCCAAAATGTCACGTCAAGTGAAAAATAATATATTCTGGAAAAAAAGACGTTAGATGAGGCTGGCATTCTGAGTGCTGCATGTCAAAGTCAAGTTACCAGTGTTATTTATTGAGCGTCCTACCGAGAAGCATGAGATATATTTGGTCTTGTTAATAGCTGAACCAAACTTTTAATCTTTTTGCCATTATGGTTGCAAAATAGTAGAGAAAGAATTACAGGCATGGTGCCTTGTGGACTATGAATGCTAATTTATGATTCATTCCTTATTCACAGCCTGACATATTGCCATTATCCTCTCCCGGTCAATGCAATTTCTGCACTGTACCAAAAGGAGCGACTGTTTTTTTTTTTTTTTTTTTTTTTTAAACACTACATGTTTAATAGTCAGGACTAATCTCACACATGCTGTTTCACAAGCTGGTGTGAATTATGTATTAGTCTCCGCTGTGCACATGGTCATACATTTTCAAAAGGTAACAATAACTCAAGCAATGTAAAATAAGCCAAGATTTTTCCCCTTAGCATTTATAATCTAGTGTGATGCACCACTATATCACATGAGTATCCTGATTCTACTGACTGACTGTAAAGGCAATGTCAGTATATTCAGTGTTGGTCTCTTAAGCAGTGAGTGAATTGGGATTCCACGGCACATGAAAAGGGGGATTGCATGTGATAAGGAGCCAAAGCTCTAGTGTAGTGAAGTGGAGAACTGGATAGAACTTTTCACTGGGTGCTCATCAGAGGAACCTTTCAAAGGGTTCCTGCAGCATTGCAAGGTCTTTTACAGCTCAGCTCTCAGAAAGGCATCAATATTCCCTCAGGGATGTCTGGTAACTGTCAATACCCCAGAGTTGACTTCAGGAGAGCTCACCTCAAAGGGGCTACAACTGGCTTTGAAGAGTGTTCCTATCCTCTTGACAGAACTGCAAAATAAATTGCACTCATCTGGCAATGTAGAAGAAGATGGATAATGCTAGTGGATGAATATTGTATTCATACAGGATAGTGTATAATAAAACAGTGATTTAGCAGGGAAGTTAATATTGCTCAGAAGAAAGTGTTTAGCTGAAAAAATGAGTTGCAGTTATAAGGAACGATATCATTTT